CAACATGGGCATAATACTTGTACACACACTCTCTTGCAGAATTTCTTCCAAAAACATAGCTACCTGAGGGTGCACGAGATAGTCTGTTCCACTAGCATTAAGCTTCATGTGGTGCGCAACTAATAACACGGAAGCTGCTACCTCAGCGCGAATTAGTATGCATGTATCCCGCGCTTCTCCGCATCATAGGCGGTGGTAGCGTCACAACGAACTGTACCTTCCACAGGTCAATTCCGGAACAGACTATACCTATTCGCAGCAAGCGAACCAAAATACTAACATTAATATTTAGAATAAAAAATGCATTCAAACTAACTATTTAACAATTTTACTCCTTTTAATTAAACAGCCGACTGGACTGTAGGAAGTTTTGAGATGACCGTTATGTGAAAAGCTCTTTCATGTATTTATGGTACATACCTTCTAATTATATATTCCATTCCTCGGATGTTTATTTCACTGATGATATGACAGAAAAATTATGCAATACTTCGATCATTGCATGCAATTTATGTTCGCAAAGCCTCTTCACAACCGTACAGAACAAATTATTAATAATGGAAATGCAAGCAGTAGTGTAACAATCATCACATAGAGATTATATTCATTAAATCGTGATTTTCAGTGTGCCGCTTTCGTCCACTGAAACAGCGCGATCGTCACCTCCGGAATGATCCGCACCATCTTCATCTTCGCTAGATCTATGCAGAACTGATACATCGATATCGCTCTAAAAAATCTCATCCACTATTTGTAAAAGAAGACTATAAAAATATGGTAAGCTGCCGCTGAATCCAAAAAAGATATATTTCAAAAAAATCCTAAATCTAGTGGAAAAGAACGTTAAAATACGCGAATGTCCGGGTCACGTTGAGGGATTATGGATTGGAAAATCTGAATAAATCAATAAATTACCAACCTGAAAACTCATCCAGATGAATGAGTTTTTAAGTTAGTAATCAGCGACTTTGTAGACAAGGGAGACAAAAATTTATATAAAAGAAAAAGTGTGAAGGAAAACACAGTTTTTTAAAAACCATATTCCCAAAAATTAACAATTAACAACCTAGTGCCAAAAAATTCATTGAAACGAGATAT